TGGAGGACAAAAAGCAGGAGCATAATAATTGTGTTGACAGCAGACACATCCCACACCTTGAACGGTGTTGGAGAAAGTGAGAGGATGATATTTGACACTGGTCTACAATGCTGTTAATACTGCAGGGGGTCCTCAGAGCACAAAAAGGAATGCAATTTCATGTAACATAAGACTAAATCTAGTTCTGTGCCTGTTATTCTCGCCAACTATAGAATTAGCTTGTCTGCCCTGCAGTCGTATTTTGCTCTTCAAATTCTCAAATCAAACCCTATTTTATTTGAATGGCTATCGATTATATATAACAGGCCACGTACATTATTCTTAGTGTTTATGGACCCCCTGTTAGTTGGTGCACACAGCTGAGGGTCTCTCAATCCCCCTGACAAATGTTACATTGGTATTTGTGTGGGAAAGATGTGACGATGAGAGCTCATTGAAGTCGTGTCACAAATTAAAGCACTGAGCTTTTGAAACAGAAAAAACTGTAAGCACTTAGCGAGCTAGAAAGCTAGCATAATCTCATTTGTACGCCTCCTCCCCAAACTCCTTAAATGTTATATCAGGAAGAAGATCAGAAAATATGAAAGATTGAGACTCACAAGAAAATTTAAAAAATGTGACAGATACAAATATTAGAATTGAGTTATATTACATACTGTGGGTTAAAAAAAAAAAAAGCCTCATGCAGAGGCTTTAAAAAAAGCTCAGATGTCTTAAGCTGAGCAATAATTTTGCAGTATAATGTTGGTAAATGGTCAGTTGTTATAAAGCCTTACATTCAGTCATTCACCTATTCAGGCAGACGCCCCCGGCAAGCTACAATGTAGCAAAAGCTGCCGTACAGTGGAGCCACCATCACACCTCTGACCAGCATCAGCAGGTGATGCAGGTGAAAAGTCTTGCCCAAGGACACAACAACACTGAAAGCTGGAGCTTGAACCCACAACTCCCCAGTTCCAGGGCAAAATCCTGCATCTGACCCCACTTTCATCACACAGTGTTGGTATCTAATCTTGACCTCCAATCAAACAATACATTTTTTTTCCAACCACCATTAGAAATTATGGACTTCAGGTGTACACCTCATCAATCCATTGGATAGTGGGTGATATGCTGCAGCTTTGCATGTGCATTTTAATTTAGCCTTAAAATTACCTTAAATTGACTCAATATGGAATTAGGTAGGGCTTGCCAAGAACTCAATATTAACACATATTTATATCTTCATTTATTTGTGGAATGTGTTTAAAAGTCCTAAGACTTTTAAACACAACGACTGAAAAAGCAGGCTATGCTAGGCAGTAGACTAAGGTTCAACGAGGTAAGTTTAAGCTACAAAATGAGTGCCTCCACTTTGGATGATGTGTACCTGCTCCCAAATATATATGATTTTAGCATCTAATAAATGAGAAAAAGAAAGCATCAGATCATCACGCAGCTTTTAGTAGCTGAGTGCAGCTCACAGCATTTAAATAAAAGAGGACATACAGTAAAGAGCAGAGCGAGAGCTCGGCATCAGTGACAGGGAGACAACCTGGGATATTATAGGGTGGGGTAATTAATTAATTTAGTTTTCCCATGAGAAAGGTTTGATTTGCTCTAGGAAGAATTACTGGTCTTATCAACATTCGGTGTGCCTAAAGTAGATCAAAAAATGGGGCTTCATTATCTGTTGTTTTACCAAAGATGAAGACTGTAAAATAAACCAAGCTTCTATTAGCAAACAGAACAAAATAAAGCAGGGAGAAGCTGTGGCATAAGTGGAACAGAGAACACGGGACATGCTGGTTTAAAAATATTTAAAATTCCACCTACAGCGTTAACAACAAGGGTTCTTCTAAAGTTAGTAGTTTTAAAACCGACTGTTGACGTGTATTTGTATTTTCAGATCTAGATATTAGCTGTTTTGCTAACTTATTATAGTGATTTAAAACTGTGAAAGTTGTAGTAACCGACGGAATCTGAAATATTAGGCAGGAGAGATCATAATCTGTTTAAACATTATTTTAATCTTTTTAGCTTGTTGCTCCAGTAGAAATATTTTGATATATTTTACAATTATTTCTCTTTCAAATTAAGGCACTTCGTAATACTTGGAATACTAACTTGAATTAGAAAGTAATTTTTCAGAAACTTGTCAAGGATTTTCCTGAAAGTGTTTTTTAGGTTTTTTTTTTTTATCAGATTTTATATTCAACATCAATATTGGAATGATATTGCATAGACTGACATTAAAAATAGACAGTGATATATGTTTTGGCCATATCATCCAACCCTTGACTAAGGTATGTCAATACGTTTCTTTTACATTTTCTAACATCACCCAACAGAAAGCATAGTGGCCACCTCTCCCAGCAGCGACGATGATGTTGCTGTTTTGCCAGAAGACAAAGGAAGATGAACCGTAGCACTAGAGATGTCCAGATCCAGGTTTTTGCACTTCCGATCCGATACCGATATACCGGATAAAAAAAAAAAAACTGGATCGGCAGTCTGGATCGGCATTTTACATGCTTTGCCGATACGCATTTTTTTGCCAATATCGGCGTCCCGATCCGATCCACGTATCGGATCGGGACAAGCCTACGTAGCACTCTTAGGATTGTTTTGCAAATGGATTAATCTCTTGATTATTTTTTATATTAATTGATTAATAATCAGTTAACCAAAGATTCTTTAAAGATGACTTTTTACAAAATTAAACCAGGTGAAACTCAAAGATAACTTAAATGCAAAATGTTTAAGTATTTTTCAAAATGTTGGTATAATTACTGCCCTAATTGGGTCGCTCTGTAATCTAATGGCATGTTTAGAGTACTCCAGTTTACTCTAGTTAACCATTAATCAATTATTAAATTAGTTGATGATTATTTCAATGATCTATTAAACACTATTAATCCGATTAATTCAGGCCAACTTATTACCTCAAGAAAATGAAAAGAGAAAAGCCAACAATCACTCCCTCTTCTGTAAACTGTACCCAGGGGAGGCCATACCACATATTCATGGCCTTCCAAAAACAAATAAGGAAGGGGTCCACCTCAGAGCCATTGTCAGCAGCATTAACGTGGTTACACACAAGATTGCAAAACAATTTTGGCTCCTTTGATTGGAAACACTCCACACCACATACAAAATTCCAAAGACGTTATTTCCAGAGTCCATCATTTGAGACCAAGCACCAGGGGCACAAGTTTTACCCACTGTGGCGGATATCTACATGGAGGAGGTGGACAGCAGAGCACAACATCTATATACACCAGGAAATAAAACCAACTCACTGGTTCAGATACGAGTATTCCACTTGAGTCACAATCCAAATCCAAGAATTTGAGGCATTAACTTAGTAAACAGCAACATACAGTTCAACTGAGAGGATGACAAGAATAACAGGTGGTCTTTTCTGGACTCTGCTGTATACATTGAGAATAGTGGGAGAGTTAATTTTTGAGGTTTACCAAAAATCTATACATAAAGACAAATAGTTTATTTTGACTCGCATCCATCACCACAACCAAAACGTTCTGTTAACAGAGCTGAGTTACCTGGTTGACAAGATCCTCTCAGTTGCAGAGTAAAAAGAAAGGACACAAAGATGTCTGAATTCACTAAAAAACATGTGGATATATCCAAAAGTGGACCAGAGAGGTTAATTTTTGGGCCTCAGCAATCACATGGAGCAGAACAAAAGTGTCAGTAACTCTGGTTAGATTCAGCTGTATTCTTGCAGGTCAAGGAAAAAGGACACATATTTTAAGCCCAACATTTTCCGATTTTAAATAGAGAGGACAGACAGTTTGAAAGATGTGTGAAGGAAGCCATCTTTGTCAAACGGGAAAAGCCATCAATGAACAGAGGGGAAGGGTTGACTTTTCAGCTTCCAAGCATCTACAAGCATCTCAGTCATGCATATAAAGGAATTACATAATTACACATGGACCATACAGAAGAAAAGACTCCAGTAACCCAGGCTGGAGATGGGTAGGTCATTAATTTTTCATCTGATTTGGAATGTACTTAAGAGGATGAACCTTCATGGTGTTTAAAAACATCAGCGCGTCCAACTACAGAATGCTCCAGCGTGAACAGACAAAACTGACCAAGACCCCTGGAAAAATGTCGAAACATCTTCAGAAAAACTGAACGAAAGTCCAGCTACTTCTGATTTAAGACTTTTTCATGGTTTCCATTACCCAGAAGAGCAGGGATTTACACAGGCAGACATCCTTAATTAAATCTTACAAAACAAAACAGTATCTTAAAACTTGGTTTTATTTGCTGCTGGGATCTGAGTAGGAATAATTTTCATAGAACCAACATAAAACAAATAAAACCAGGTATTTTGTCGCTGTACTTTAATACAATGCACTTGATTGTGCTTGGCTAAGATATAAAACCCAAACAAAACAAAACATAGTGTGAGTTTGTTACTTCACAAGGGAAGCCTGAGAGCCGTGACTACTGTATAAAACTGGTAGTTTTTAATAATAGTATTATTTTCACACATTTCTGCAATAATAACCCAATGTGCTTGAAATATGTTATTTACTTTCTCAAAGGAATTAGACCTGTGTGCTGAGATTAGCTCTCGGCTCTTAGCAGTGAAGGCATGCGTAGCAAGAGCCGGCTCCCTGCAAAACCACAGCTTGACATTTCCTCATTTCTATTCCTCTATAGATTATACAAACAGTTAGTGACCTTTTGAGCCCAGCTCCCTTCGCTCCCTGCTCCCAGAGTTTATGCTAATTTATTATAATCAACTCTGCAGCTCCACACGTATCTAACACGCGCACAAGTGGTACTGACCTTTTTTTTCCTAACACTCAACAAAGAAGCAGAGGCATTTTATCCAAAACATTAACCTTGTCCATCAGCAACAAAGGGGCCAGAATTTGCCTCAAACTGTTTAACAATTCTCAGCAAACAACACCGCTATTATTTTACATACATTTCAGTCTTTAAAGCAAATCAGCAACTGAAATATCTGAGTGCCGACTCACCTCCAATCCATCCTCATGTCTGTACTGCTTCCAGATGCGACCCGTGTCGCTGTAGAGCAGCAGGTAACTGCTGACCCAGTCCGAGCTGTCGTAACGTCCCTGCGTAGCCACGGCAGTCACCTCCATCTGCTCCCGGAGGTCCACCTGGAGCCAGGGGTCTTGGTCTGTCACCATAGGAGACCAACCTCCTGCTTCTGGAGCAAATCAAGAACAAAAAGATAAGATTCTTATTCTATGATTGAATCATCTTCTATTTTCTTTAAGTTAAAGTACAGAGAGGGTTTACCATTGAGAACAGACAGAGACAGACAGTATGGGAACAGACAGTAGGAGTTCTGAGACACCTGAAGTCTGTTTTTTTATACAGGGACATCAAACTGAATAGGGAAAAAAAATTGCCCTGTTTAGCTCAAAGCACATCTGTCAGCATCATCTAAATGCAGCTCAGATATAATCTATTTATTTATTTTTTATTTTATTTTTTTGCTAAATGCCATAATGAGATGGATATAATTATGTCGACTATGAGCTGATATTTCCTTCGATAAAAATCCCTCTTATTCTGTGTTCCCTTCACCCTGCAAACATTGGTTGGACATCTCAAAGCTGCCAGCTGCTCCTACCTTCACCTCAGCTCTCAACTTTAAATGTTTACTGGTTAAAAAAAAAATCTGGGCAGAAAAAACTAACACTGCACATTCAAACAACTCAGAAAACAGTTTTAAGTGAAGAAAGTTTGATTTTTAAAACTGTATTTGTAGAGGCAGCTTTAAAGGTGATGGCAGCAAGATACCTCCTGATTATACAATGATGAAAACTACAATTCTGTGTTTTTATTATCTAATATTTTAGCACTCTTTCAATAATTTATTTATAATTCATTACTTACTCTAAAATACTTTTTTTCTTATAAAGGACAGTCAAGAATAACCTTTTTTTTTTCTAAGGTAACCGTTTCGTAATGTTTTAGGGAATTCCATGTGCTATTATTATGGCTGTCACTGAGACACCTTTCAGCCATTTTACTCAGTTAACAAAATGACTGTTTGACTGCACCCAAAGGGATGTTAGATAAAGACAAGAGTTCCCTGAATCACTCAACATTTCCCTGTTGTAGAACAATATTTAAGAGAGTTTGTCAACTTAACTGAATGGTTTGATGGGAAAGATCCCTGAGCGTGTTCTGGGGCTTCGACAAAATACAAAAACTAGAGTCTTAATGTTAAGAAAATGCGTGAAAAGTGTGAACATGTATACCATCCTTAACTTAAGAAGCTCAGCCAGCAAGATTGACTTACCAGGGGCATGATCATAAGGCCCAAGACTCTCACTATCTCAAAGAAGTTTATGCTTGCACAAACATTATTCATAAAGCAGCAGCACACAGTTAAAACTGGCACTGCGAGGGAGCACATTTTCAACAATGCTTTTTATTATGTCCTAATTGAGCTGGATGTATCTATATGTTTAAAAAAAAAAGATATTTTTGTTTTGTTTTATATTTCCATGACTGTAATTCGGGCCTTTCCTGACTAACATGTATACATTAAAGGCATTATCTCTTGTTTTGATTGATTAAGGTAAATGGATCCTTACATCACATTAGAGATGCATTCAAAAATTGAAAACCAAAAATTAGTCATTATAACTACCTAAACATTCTGATGAAAAGGATAGCATATATTAAAAAAAACAAACAAATAAAATCAGTTTTTGCAGGAAGAGTTTTTTGTAATAAAGCAATTTGTAAATCATTATGCTACTAAGATTGGAGGTTTATTTGTATCAAGCCTCTTTTCCCATCTTGGCAGCCAGTGGCTAAGAGGCAGACCATGAGTGAAACTGTTAAATCCCAAAGATAAAGCTTTGAATGAAGTTTTAATGAATAAATATCTTTATAACTACTCATCCAAACATCTAATGTGTAGTTCTGCTTATGCTGACCAGTGCCTCTGCACTTCATTTACAAACAATTAGTTTTGTTAATGTGATAAAAGCTTATTTTTAATTTCAACAGGATTTAATGTGCTTCAGTGATGATTACTGGCATTAAGTCTTTCTGTTTGTTTGACCAACATCCATCTATCTTACATAAACACAATCTCATTTTATTTTTTTCCATTTGAAAACAAACAAACTTCTTAGTCCTTGACATCTATACCTAAGGTAAACATAAAGGCACGAAGTGCTAGTGAGAGGACCCTGGATGGGCTGATAAATAAAGATAAAAAAAAAACTTGGACTACATTTATTTTTTAGATTCATTTAGAAGAACCAGATACATTATTTGTTAGTTGATCCAACTGGAACAGAGTGTGCTCTAGACCCTGGACAGGGTTCTGGTCCATGTCAGGGTCACAAAACTTTTAACCATCATTTAAGCTATGATTAAGCATTGCACTGTGATGGTTGTCTTTCCCATAGGAACCAAGCCTGACTGTAGCCCACAGACATTCAGCCCGATGTTTTTGTTTTGCAAAAACTCCAATATGTAAGTAGTTAAGTATATTTGTAAATTAGACCCTAATGTTTAAAGCTCTATGTAAAGACTATTACCTGCAAAACTAATTTCCCTCTAAAAATCATTTACAGCAAACAATAAAACACTAGAGGGAAACAAAGTGAATTCCCAGCGAGCACAGGATGTGGTCTCCTAAGTTCTTAAACACAGAGTTGCTAAAAGAAGAGCTGATTCTGGAATAAATTTCAGATGAGCAGATATTTCTCAAAGGGCTTTTATTCCTTCCAAACAAAGCTGTAAAGCTGTATGCACTTACCGTCTCTCCTGTTGAGCTTGGCATAGAAGGCAGAATAACTCGCCGAGGACTGAGATGAGCTCTGAAACGATGAGTGTGGCAACGCTGATGCGAGAGGACCATTGCAATTATCTGGAAAACAAAACAAAAACACTGCATTTCAGAACCATCTTTTTTTCAGATGAGAGCTGTTTCAATCTCGTTGCATATGTAACTTGCCAAGCTGGGATTTGCTCTGCAGAGAATAATTATGGGAAATGTTCCAAACGTATTTACACATTACCTCAAAACGTTAATCTACCTGTAAATGGTAACAAAAATAACAGCTTTGTTTGACTCCTTTTCTCAGATGCCTGCAACAGTCTGTTAACCCCTAATGGACCACAGCATAAACACTTCCTCCTTTTCCATTTGTGTCAGTCTGTAATTTTAATCCAAGATTTTGAGATTACATCACATCCAACCAGCAGCAGATTAGGAGTACCCGGATCAAAAATTGTTGGTTTATTGCGCTCTGATCCTTTTAGCCTATAACAACCTCCTTCAGTGTGCTTGAGCAGCATTAAGGCCTGGATCTGAGATCATAATAGAAACTGGCATCAGCCTGATTACAATTATCCCCCGTTTTCTCAATCAGTCGTCTGGCAGACCTTTGTTTTTTGGGCATCACTCTGCTTGGAGCTCAGACGGATTCTGGGCACATCTGGAGGTGCAATCCGAAATCCATCTGGCCAACAAGAGCTCAGTAGAAGTGACAGCCTGATCTAGTGTGCTTTTAAAATGTCCTGCTGAATTTCAGCCGACCTGACTCGACTTCTTTCACCTCCTTTGGCAAAAGTTTTTTTTTTCGTGTTTCTAATCCTGATCTTAAGTGTGACCAAAGTGGTTCATGCAGTTTTTTTTCCGTTGTCAAATTAGGGCTGAGTTTAAGTGCAGTTGCATGCAATGATGGGGAAAATGAAAGCACTAACACGGCATCCTCAACAGATAACCATGCGCACGGGGGTCATTATTCAAAAACGGTTCTCTTAATCTGTCAAAAGTCTCCTTGATCCGCTGTTTGCTTCCCACACACTCGTTTATTTCTCCATCCTTTCAATCTGCAGCCATCTTTTTAAGTTTCTCTCCCTTTGAAGTGAGCTTTATTTCACTCAGAGACTATACATAATCTGGCCTTGACAGTTCTAAAGAAAGGAACAATAGCAACATAGTTCTCTTGTTCTGTCTTGGGTTGAAAACATTCTGTAAATGAAGTGAAAGTTAGCAGACTCTGTTTTTATTAAAGAATTTTTTCACTGGCATGATATTTAGCTCGTGACACTCTGGATGACTTATGGAGTCCGGATGATTTGTCTGCAAAGCACTCTGAGGCCTGTGGGAAGATTTCAAATCCACAGAAGCTGACTGCAGATCTGTGCGCTGACCCAAGAGGTTTATTTTTTTTTTCTTTTTCACTAAATGAAGACACGCTTGCATCCGGGTGGACAGATGTAATACATGCACAGTGGCTGCAGAGAGAGAGAATACTTTATTCCTCTTGAAATCTGAACAGGAAGTCAAAGAAGGGATTGGTTTCTTCATGAAGATGTGTGTTTAGGATAAGAATACATGTTTAGGATAAGAGTATCTTGGATGGAAGAGAATTTCAACAGTTTTGGCTCAAAAAAGATGATGTCGACCAAATAGAAAACAGAGACATCCTCATTTTACACAGTTAAAGCCTGATATAACTGCAATTTATCATGTGGAAGCCCTACTATGTTGCATAATATAGTGCCATTTAAAAATTCAGCATTATTATACATTATTAAAACCGTCTTAAAGAGTTGCTCATTTTTTTCTCCTTCATCTTATGTTTAAGTCATTTTCACAAAAGAAATTCAATGTAATCTGTTCTACTAGTGTTTAAATTGTAGTAATTTATAATTTAATAGTACTTCATATTCTTTTGTCTTCTTAATCAGAAAAAGTCAAATATGCATACATGTGATAGACTTCTGATTTAGTGTTTGATGAGATAAGATTTAGAAATGTATGAATTCAGCCTCGGAAGCGATATTCTATGTGAGGTATTAATATGCAGAAGGCTACAGGGGGAAATACAGAAAGCAGTGCAATTTCCCTCATGTCATGTAGACATTTATTCTGATGTTTGTGGAATTTTGTCCACTGGACAAAGTGTGCATAAAAAAATGCAATCAATGCTCAGCCTCACAAAAGATGCATGTACTAAGAAGGGGGAAATTAAAAAAACGTTTTTGTTTTAATTTTATTAACTTATTTTTGTCATTGTTTTATTGCCTAACTTGGTTCTGTTGGTGCAAAATGTATCAATTGTGCATGAGGTGAATTTCAGTCAAGAATTTAGGTCTTTAGATTTTTCACATTATTAATAAAACAGAGCATTGCATGCATCTTTAATGTTTTTGTCTTTCATATGTTATATTTATCTTATAAACAATATTTTTAACACATTAACATTGCAATTGACATGCTTTTCTTAATTTTCCTTCTAGTCTGTGGCGTGAAGGTCTCTTTAACTACATATTGATTCATAGGGCTTAGGTACTGGCTCCATGAGGGTTTTGCTTAGTGAAAAAAATATGACCGCTCAGTTTTTTTTTTGAAGACAGGAATTTATTCTATAAGAAAAAGATTTCTAAATATCAATTTAAATTATTCTTATGGGTTGAAATATAATTATAAAGGTTTGTTTATTTGTGAAGGAAAACATATAAAAATATGGAACCCAAAAGTTAACAGGTTGTTTTGGACCTATAAATGAATCAGACTGTGAAGTTCCTTTCTAAAGTTAAAACAGATATAATACTCACATAAAACATTCCAAACACTAATGTGCTTTAGCAAAGGTCTTTGTCTTAGTTCAGTCAACCATCTGCTGATCCCTTTCCCCCCTGGTGCTACAGCCCTCTGTCTGTTCCACACAAGTTGCCCAATAACACAGACACAGCTTCTTTATATATCAAAATTATTTGCAATCTGTTTACAGAAGTTAAAAAGAAAAATATGGTCTTTATTCTGGCAAAAGGGGATGCAATTAAGCTCCATCTTTACATCACAGGCTTCAAAACCAATGGTCAAAAAGCCATTTGCTACTCCTGCTGCCTCTCCCTCAGCAACATCTAATTGCTCCTCCCTCTTCTCCTGTAAGAAAATGAGAGGACAGGTCAACAACTTTTACACCTCAAAAGGAAAAAAGTCTGTCCCAGTTTCATGGGATTAAAAATACTGTTTCCAAAGTTGAGGAAACCCTTGTTGTTCCCAGTTTATTAAGACTTCCAGATAGACTTTATTGCCAAAAGCATTTGCTCACCTGTCTTTACTCACAAATAGCTAATTGGACACCTCCATTCCTAATTCATAAGAGGACCTCCCTTTGCTGCTAGAACAACTTCAACTCTTCAAGGAGAGCTGCCCCCAAGGTATCTGTGCGGATTCGACAAAACACCTCTGATGTCATCACCCTAAGCATAAGGCTGCATCCCTGTTGTTCACTCTGATGACACACGACTGCGTCCCCAGGGTAACCACCAATCACATTGTGAAGTTTGCAGACGACACCACGGTGGTGGGTCTCATTAATGACGCCAATGACCTGGACTACAGAGAGGAGGAGGAGCAGCTGGTGGACTCATGCAAATACGATGATCCTGAACGTGGAGAAGACGAAGGCGATCACTGTCGACTTCAGGAAGAATCAGCCTAACCACGCTCCACTGCTCATCTACAACTCAGCTGTAGAGGAAGTCAGCAGCACCACATGTCTGGGGGTTCATATCACAGACAACTTCACCTGAACAATGAACACCATTTCACCATTTCACTAGTCACCAGTTCACCATTTCACTAGTCACCATTTCACTAGTCAAAATGGCACCAAAGCGCATGTAATTCCTGCCAAGTATGAGGAGAGCCACCCTGCCCATATCCATCCTCACGATCTTCTACAGAAGCACCATAGAGAGCGTTCTGACCAGCTGTCTCACTGTGTGGTGTGGAGGCTGCAGCGCCTCTGACTGGAAGAAAGTGAGAAGACTGGTGAGAACAGAGCATCGGGGCTCCTCTTCCCTCCATAAATGACATTTCGTCCCAGCGCTGCGTGTCCCGAGCCCGTGACATCATCAATGACCCCTCACACCCCCACCATGCACTGTTCTCCCTGCTGCCCTCTGGGAAGATGCTTCGCAGCATTCGATGCAGGTCCAACAGATTCTGCAACAGCTTCTTTCCCACTGCCATCAGACTACTGAACTGTTGAAAAAACTCCAAATCATGTCACACACTGCATCACATTGATAACACCAAAAATACTGCATCTTTGCACCAAATATATATTAACGCTCTGAAATTCCATATCAATGAATTTTTGAACCATGATTTTTCTCCCACATTATTTACATTTGATCACAGCTGCACTTTATGGAATGGAAATGTTAATTTACTGTCTGAAAAGCTGTGCTTAACAAAAAGGTAAAACTCTATGTATACAAATTACAATAAAAGTTGTCAAAGTCTCTAAGTTTAAGTTGTGGGAATTTTGACCATTCTTCCAGAAGCTCATTTGTGAGGTGATACACTGATGTCTGACAGTAAGGCCTGTTTTTCAGTCCCTGCCCTAATTTAATCCAAAGGTGGTTTATCAGGTTGAGGTCAGGGCTCTTTTTAAGGCCAGGGAAGATCATCCCTACCAGCCTCTGCCATCCAGGTCTTTATGAACCTTGTTTTGTGTACTGGTGTACAGCCCTGTTGGAATAGTAGTGGCCCTGTTCAAAACTGTTCCGACAAAGTTGGAAGCATGACATTTTCTAAAATGTCTGGGTATGCTATAGCATTCACTGAAACTAAGGGGCCAAGCCTAGCTCGTGAAAAACAACCCCACACCATAATCCCACCTCCACCAAACTTTAAACTTGGCATAATGCATTCAGACCTGAAGCATTCTCCTGGCAAACCCCCAAACGCAGATTCGCCCATCAGCTTTCCAGACAGAGAAACATGATTTGTCACTGTAGGTAGTAGATCTCCACTGCCCCTGAGTCCAGTGGCAGTGTGTTTCACACCACTGCATCTGATCGGCTGCATTATACTTGGTGATGAATGCTTGGATGTTG